TGCGATCCAGTGGGTGATTGGAGGTGGGTGATTGCCCTTCCGTGTGACCCAGTGCCTGCGTGCCCTCGCATGTGATGCAGTGTCTGTGTCCATGTGTCCCTCTGTGCTAGAGCATGGTCCTGTGTGTGTCAGACGGACTGTGTGGTTCAACTTGGGCATCATTTTCTTTTCCAGCACTCACATGCAGGACCTTCAGGAGGTGACCCAGGACCTCCACTATGAGAACTTCCGCTCCGAGAGGCTCAAGAGAGGCGGCAGGTTGTCCCAAGTCATTGTGTCCCCTTAAAGTCATCCCTACTGTGACTCCCCATGTTGCACCTCCTGCTGGCTATCTGCTCCACTCGGCCTTCTCGATCGCTCTCTAAGCAGCAGTGAGATTGGGCTCTCTCTTTGGAGGTGCCCCAGAGACTTGCTAGTTGGGGTTGGGCAGCCTTGGCAGCCCTCACAGGACGGCTGGAGGCACGTGCTGGGTCCCATCTCGTGCACCGCTCTGGAACACCATGCACGTTCCTTGCTGCTGAGCAGCTCTGGCGTCGCCCCACAGTGTATGCCAGGGAGCGCATAAGCAAGGGGTGCAGCAGACACTGGGAAGGGGACAGTGATGATAGCTTCACCAAGGTGTCCTGGCCAGCCCACCTGTGCTGGCTCTGCCACCGCCCCCCTCCTCCCCCTTTCCCTCTGCTTCCGGTGGCATGCTGCTGGGAATGTTTGTGGTGCCTGAGCATGGCCAGGCCTTGACACTGGCCTATGCTGGAGCCCAGGGTGAAGGGTCAGCCCAGTGCATGCTGTGCCGGGATCGCCCAGCAAGGAACAGCAAGGTGCCTTAAGCTCCCGGGTTGGGCCACTTGCCTCTTTGCACCCATGCTCCCTCCTCACCTGTTAGTGCTCTCATTCAGAAAACCAACAGTTGCATCCTTTCACATGCTTCACAGGGTCGTGAAGTGGTCAGCAATAGCCAACTGTGTGGTGGTGATAATGTCATTGTAAATTTCTTTCCACTCTTAGGAAAGTGGAGAGTGAGGACATGAATAAAGACCAGATCTTGCTGGAAAAGGAGGCTGAAGTAAGTACACAAGCATTTCTATGTTCTGAGAATATAATTTCTAATTAACTTACTAATTTTTTGCAGAGAAATATGCAAGGGGCTTCACAAAGTTTGTCAGGAAATGGAAATAAAAGTAATGGCATTTGCTCACAAACTTTGCGAAGCTCCTTGGTACATAATCACATACACATATTCACAGGTACATAATGTGTGTAGTGTTTTAACATGTTGGCTCATTTGTAATGCTAGTCTAACTGGAAAGCGTAGATAGAGAAGGTGGGAGTGTGGTGACCTTCCAGGAAGAGAGCACCCTGAAATCCACTTAGAATAGCCCAGAGCCATTGCAGACCCCAGGACAAAGGGTGAGGCCTCCTGGAGTCCGAGTCCACAATGTGGGGCGGGGTGGATTGCACATCATTCTCCTTTGCTACTCTCACGGTTTTCACTTTGAATGCAAGTGTTTATCTTCATAAACACCTAAGCTAAAGCTGGAACAAAGGCATTATTGCCAACTTTAAAAAACAACACAGTTTTCCTGTACATAGGTAGTAAACACTTGAGAAATACAATGAAGCATTATTGCAGCAACAGCCATGGGAAAAAACAGCTTGGGCTGGGCCCTACCACTGGCTTCCCTGTTGCCACCAGGCAGCAGTCAGATAGAGCCCCACCCTCCATCCCTCTTTCCTGCTCTGACACCAGTCATTCCTCCCACAGCACTTGCCTCTGTGTTGGGGGCAGAAATTCACTGCAGTACCCACACAGAACTCGAGAGAGAAAACTCAAAACCAATTATGGGGGTTTATTAGAGAAGTCACTAGGTTACCATACAGTAAAAAGTAAGGATATAGTCATTGGTCCAAGCTGTAATTGAGTTTCACACTTTGGTCCTCAGCCCCTGGTCCTGCCTCACAGTCATAATGCCGGTTGTTGGTCTGGCCTGGCTCCTTTGCCCTGCCCATGGTCTCCATAGCAGAGGCTCTGATTTCTCTGTTCTCAGACTCTGTCTAGACAGAGATCTCCTACGTGCCCTTCTTCTGATGCTCCTGGGCTTCTCTCCCTTCCTGTTGTTGAGATGGTTCTTAGACACACAAGAATGGCTTTGATGTGTCTCTCTTGTCCTTCAGCAAGGCCATCCCTCCAAGGAAAGAAAGGGTGTGACTTGATTCATGCCCTTTGCTAACCCCACTGAAGTCCTGTCTATCAGTCGAGCAGAGAACTCCCTCCAAATGAGCATTAGCGCCACAGGCAGAGACCGGAACTTGTGATGCTTCACATAGGAATTACGGCTGGAAGGGCCATATTAATTGACTTCCTCACAGCAGCATTGAAGGCCCCCAAGGGAGGTGCTTAGCCCAGAGATCACAGTAATGCACCCTAGCCCAGAGATCACAGTAATGCACCCAGCAGAGCCCAGTGGGCTGCCCAGGTGTGTGCTGGGTTTTCCTTTTAGGGAGAGGTGACCCATGATTCTAGCATGTATCTGGAGGAAAGGTCTGGAAAAGGCAGGCAGTGTTGTGGAAGTGGGCTCAGGAGAAGATCCTGTCATGCAGGGGAGGGGAGCCATGGGGGGCAGAGGGGGCATGCACAACAGAAATCAATGCCAGGTGAGGGAGCCTGCTCGTAGTAAAAGGGGCTCTAAATCAGCCAGCCCAGGGAGGCCAGCAGGTGGACACCCACTGCTCCCTGAACAGCTAAGACCTGGTGGCTCCCAGCAAAGCCAAACACTTCCCTCCATTTAATACCGAGCCCCAAGCATCACCAGCTAGCTGTTCCTATCTTGGCGTCGAAGAGCGCAGGCCTCGTTTCTCTTACTGACGTTTCTCATCTGAGCCGCGGTTCTTCCATGGACCTTCTGTCCTCGGTCCTCCCTCGCTGATTGATGAGAGCCCTTTGCGTGGCCACTCTACATGTTTCGGAAAGGCCTGGAAGCTAAATCTCTGGAAGGTCACAGAACACCATGTGCCCATTAAGAGCATGAACCGAGAGTAATGTGTCCCACCCCTATCTAGCTTCGCCGCATGCAGGAGATGATTGCCCGGATGCAGGCGCAGATGCAGATGCAGATGCAGGCCGGGGACGGTGACAGCAGCACACATGGCCACCACGTGTGAGGTACGGCGTCAGGTGATACAAAGAGGAAGATGAGCGAGCGAGAGGGAGGCCACATCCCTTCCCATCCTCATGTGGACTGGGCTTCAGGCTCGAGAATTCCACCAGGACCAGGGAAGTGTCCACCCCTGTAGACAACAGATAGCTGTCCTCCCGCCAGACCATTTCCTCCCCAGAAGACTTGAAAGGTGGATTAAAGACCCACCAGTCTAGGGGAATGGCCAGGCACAGGGGCTGCTGTGGCATCCCAAGAAGGTGTGACTATGCTTCCATGTTACTGGGTCATGAAAACTCAAGATGCCTGAAATGATTTTATTTCTATTATCAGGAACACAATAATTCCATGAATCTCAAAGATGGCTGTCATCATAGAACCCTAGCCACGCTTTCCCAGGACAACACGGCTTAGAACAGAGTCCTGGTGGTGAGGGGGCTGCACTTGGAAGCCACCAGCCACTCCAAGGGAGCAAGAGGAGGCTCTTTGCTCCCATAAAGAGTTACGATCTTGGAAACCATCTGGGGGCAGTTCTACCCTGCCCTTACTGGGTCACCGTGAAATAGAATTAACTCGATAGCAGTGCATTTGGTTTTTGAGTTACTTTGAGCAGGGCTCCTAACTCCCAGGAGCCCAAAGTCCTAACCACCCAACCTTCGCTCCAGCTGTTCCCTTGTTCCAGAGAGAGAGGATCCCGTCAGTGGGCAGAGCGGGGCTGGGCTGCTGCTGTGGAAATGTGCTGTTGACTCTGTTTTTCTAGAAAACAACTCCAAGATAGAACGTTCCAGATGAGTCGCACAGGGATGTTTCCCGTGAAGGCAGAGGAGGAGTGCCGTTGACATCTTCAGCACCTGTACCTGAGAATGCAACTTCTTTTTACATTTTTATGTGGTTTTTTTATTACTGTTTTTGTTATGAAGTACTGTAACATTTGTTATTTTGTTGCTATATTATTCTTTCTCTTTGTGGAGTAAAAATTTCACTTTCCTTCCTCCTTTACTAACGACCGACACAGAATCGGTTTCCAAGTCAGCCCGGGTTCCACTCAGCAGTTGGGTTTCCCAGCTCTCAGCCCGCCTGACTGACCGCGTGTTGAGAAGCAGGCTTGTTGATGTGTAGAAACAAATTCTCATTGATTCCGGGTGGCCCTGGGTGCTGGACACCCGGCAGTCCCTGGTGGCAAGGGCGCCAGGCCCCTGCCACCAGTCTGCTAAGCAGGTTTTGCAGCTATAGCCCCAAGTTGTCACTTCTCTGCACAAACTCCTTCTGCCAAGTAATAGAACAGATTCTCTGACGAAATGCAGGTTTCTACCTTTTAAATTTAAGATTCAAGGCGAATTTATAGAAGTGCCCTGCCTCTGCCACTCACCCTTCCACAGCTGCCGTGGCCAACAGTGCACGGTGGGAACTAAGCCCCCCATGGTCCTCTTGACCTGCCACCAAGGCTCTCGTCTGCACAAGGGGCAGCAGGCAAGGTCTCTACTCCGCCATTTTAAAGATACCTTTGAAAGAAAATTAACATTAATTTGGCCTTTTGAGAAATCAGCCTCTTGTACTTTTTATACTGCACTTTACTCGGTTTTGCTGTGATGCCTGTATAGGAGATCCTCCCAGCAATGGGACTTGGAGTTCTGTGATGGGAACCCCATCTGGTCACCAGGCAGTCACGATCCAAAGTGCCTTCTGCTGCTGGCATCTCGGTGGTTTTCCAGTGAGAGGCAAGTGGCGGTGTGATTTTGTACCTTAATTTCCAGCCATCATTTCCCTTTATTTTGTGAAATACAGTTCTCAGTCATAGCCAGTGAGCCTCTATCCTATGGGGTATGCAAAGCTCTGGGCATGGAGGTGTGTTCCCAGAATGAGGTACCATGGCGCAGGGTAGTACAGGCTATTATTCATCTAGGTTTGGTCCAAGTGTAGAGACAGACAACGACTAGCTTTGGGTGGGATGTGGGCAGTTGTTTTGGCCAGAGATTGAGGTGGCCAAATCCAGCACTAATAAAACCATACTTCTGAAAATACGCGTCACTCCGCTAAATCCCCTCCTCAGTTGAGTGGCCAGGACTGTTTCTCAGGACACATCAGCCAGAGGACGTTATTGGGCTATTTATCAACTAACCATCATAGAAAAACCTTAAAAAGCGGTCAGAAAGCATTTGCAAATTGTCAGTTTATACCCTCTCTCTGTTTAAGAGAAAGTACTAGTTGGGGCCCACTGCCCCCTAGTACTGGCTCTGCAGGGCTGGCTGGCTACACTTAGGACTTTGAGCAGATTTCAAAATTCACCCGGACTGGCTCACAGGTAGCAGTACTCTTGTTAAGAGATTCTTGACCTAGAGACGTATTTTGTTAACATTTTACACAGCAATTTTATACTCATTACAACTAACCTTTTATCAATAAAGCACTATTGTTTAGATACCAAGTGTGTGGCTCTTGAGGGGGGCGGGGCAGTTGTATAGAACTGGGAAGAATCGTCTGGAGCATCAGCACTTTGTGACTTGGGACAAGACAGGACTGATTGCCATTCAGTTGGACTTCGGACACCTACTTCTGTTCGGGGTGGGGTGGGGGGGCGAGTTTCTGGGATGAGGCCACCTCCCTCGGACACGGCGAGGTCCTCCCACCCACGTGGGCAGTCAATCCAAGGCCAGCAATGTTTTTGTTAGTGTCCTTGGCCGTGGGCCCGGCAGGGTGGGGACAAGGCAGGAGCGTGGCAGCGCATCACCGATCCCAGACCACGTCAAAACCCTGTCAAAGCGCTACGCCCAAGGAGCTAGGCCTCGCTCCGCCCCCAGATCCTGCGCGACATCCGGGTCTGTCCTGGAAAACGCATTCCCAGAGAATTGGGCCCCGCATATGATAGACCCGCGCGGGCTCCGCCCCTTTCATGATCCCGCGGAAACCCAGACTGGTTCCGGAACGCGCCAGTTGCAGAGAACTAGGACCGGCCCACCTGTAGAGCTCAGGATCTCACCTCATCAGCTTAGGCCACGCCCTGCGACCGCGCTAAGTCCCGCCTTTGTCAGGATCCCGCGTGAACCCAAGCCCTGTCCCGGAATGCGCCCGCCCGCATAGTCTAGACCCCACCCAGCAAGCCGAAACTCCGCCCAGGTTTGCTTGGGCCCCGCGGTTTCGCCCCGCCTCTCCCATGCACTTTCCAGGGGAACTTCCGAGACACGATTTCAGGCCGCGGGTCCGGTTGCCCCGCCCCGGCACCTCCGCGGGCCAATCGGCGTCGCGTCCGC